CCAAAAGTTATGTAAAAAAATCGTTGTTGTTGATAATAATAATTTATCATAGTTGTATTTATATTGTTTTACTTTTATATCGAAAAACGGAACGTACCAAAACTACATGATCCGTTCGGGAAAAGGGCTTTGGGATAAATACGGACTGTTGGGCCCGCGAAGTTGTTCCCGTGAAACACTGTATTTGGGTGTCATTTTTATGCTAATTAAGGCTTTTTATTTTACTTAAACATATAAAATGGCCATTGAAGATGACGAACTATGGTTTTGAGTTTCGCGGTTCACTAGTAGGTAAGCGCCTCTATTTTTATTCTCCCGTACAAGCGGGTAGTTAGAAATCCCTGACCGCTATGTTCGGGCGCGGGACCTGAGGGGGCGTGTACGGGGAAGGCAGTGAGTCGACAGTTGAGAGTCAGCATCTGATTGAGAGATAGACACCGACAGAGTGCCCAGATACCTGCAGGCTCTGAACGAGACATCGAGTTGGTAAGTGTCACTTAATCTATCTACAATATTTCGCCAACCCTTTCAATACGGAGTCTAAGGGCGGTTGTACCATGTTACCCCAATTTGTACCGTACAGCACAGAAACTATATAAAAAAATTATAAATATGTTAGTAGTAGAATCACATAATATAGACTTTTTTGTTTTAATTTGCGTGTTAGGCTAGAAATTTCTACTTTTTATTAGTACGTTAGGGTTTATTGCTGTGAATTATTGTGAATTGAATATTTCACAGCATAACAATAAATAAAAAAACATTCATGTACAATTAACTTGAATGAATAAATTATTATTTAATTAATCTTAAAAGTCATAATAAAGAATCACAATAAGCAAAAAACGTTGAGTAATTCAGTTTTACAAACATAAAAACATGTTTCAGTAGTACAAGCATTAATTTTAATTGGTTTTGTTCTGTTAGGTTTTTAATCAAACAATTTTTTGCACGGTATAATATTTTTTGTATCTTTAACATGAGGAAGTTAAAGTAGGAAGTGCAAAATATACTTTGAACTTTCAAAAT